GCATCTTCAAGTACTTCGGGCTGCTGCTGATGTCAACAGTTGCATTGTCTTTTTGTAGTCTGTAGTAGCTGTGTAGAAGTAGGCTGGGCTCTGAGCGCCAAGTGTGAGTGTAAGGGAACTGGACTCTTGTGTTGAGAGGAGAGAGTGTGCTCTCCACGGACATTGGTTTTCAGTGCTACGAAACTCCATTGGTGTATTATTGGTGCAAGGCTGCTATCTGGACACGGTGTGACTATTTGACTTGCAATGTGATGGTGTGATCTGGGTTTGTCATCTCGCTCTTGCTTATTTTCCTTGCACAAACTGGTGATTAAAAAAATTGGCCGACTTCTGTGGCCAGAAAGCGGGGGCAAATTGGGCCTACGACTAGCAGCAGGGAGAGAGAGACTGAAAAAAAAAAAAAAAAAAAAACGGAAACGCACAAGCTCCAGGGAACTGGTGACTCGCAAAGAACAAAGGCATACGACTTAACGCTCCTCGTCTCTCTGTCCTTCTTCGTTTTTTTTTTGTCTTTTTCTGAAATGCTTCCCTTAAACCACTAGTAGTCTAGTACCTTTGGCGTCCGGTTTCGACAAGGTTCTTGCCTGCTCCCGAACTTTCAGGAGGCCGAGCCCGGCGTTCATCAATCTGATCGGCGGCCGTTGTTTCGTTTCGGCCTCCTGAAAGGTCGGAGGCCCGCTATTTTCCGAACCGACAAAGGTACTAGTGGTTTAACAGGAAATTAATTACATGCTACAGAAACAAGAATACGGGAAAAAGAAGAGCGAGCAATGGATAAAGCTTCAAGACAGGAATGGCAGAGAGCTTCAGCTTCTGGGAAACAGGTCATTCTGTCAGTCTGCACAATGCCGCAGATGTGACAAGGGCACTGGTCATCGACTCCATTTAGCCAAAAAGTGGGGGCCACAGAAAAACAAAACAAAACAAAACAAAACAAAAAGGAGGAGCAGCGTAAGTGGGGCCCACAGAAAAACAAAACAAAACAAAACACAACAAAAAAAACAAAAAAAAGCAGATTTGGCAAGATCAAGGGTCATCAACTCCATTTAGCCAAAAAGTGGGGGGCACAGAAAAACAAAACAAAACAAAACAAAACAAAAAGCAGGAGCAGTGCAAGTTGGGGGCACGGAAAAACAAAACAAATAAAAAAAGAAGGATCAATGCCCTGCACAACTGGAAACGACTTCAAGACAGGAATGGCAGAGCTTCAGCCTCTCAGAAACTGCTGAGTCTGTCAGTCTGCACAACAGCGCAGATGTAAGAAGATCAACCGTGATCGGCTACATTCCCACACGGCTCCCACGTCTGCCTTATGCAGCTATGCTCCATAACCAAGCTCTGAGAATTCTTCTGATAGACCGCAGGTTTTCTGTTTCAATTAGGTTCTTCTTCTTCTTCTTTTTTCTCTTCAAAAGGGCGACGGCCTCAAGGTATCGACATTGAACAGATCTGCCCAGGTCATTCAGAACTTATTTTGTTCTGCCCATCTGATTGCATCTGGATTCAAACATGGGTCTGTAATTCACTAGTTCTTGGGTGTAGCAACTGAGCTGCGCCCGTTGGTAGTAATCTTCTTACCTGCAAAGGTGAAATGAAACTCGACAACAACGTGCTTATAGCAGACACCTCGCAGAGAGCAGCAATCGCCATGCATGCCTCTCTACCAGACCTCCCACCACCAAACGCTGCGTATGCTTTTCCGTACTTGCAGGGATCGTTATCTTCCAGGTTCTCTTCCACTTTCAAATCCTGCACCCCTTCTCTTCTGGAAAAGCTCTCTTTCGCACCGACAGCACCACAATCTTGTCCGGGCCTCTCCACTTGCTCAGGCACCACCTCCCTGTCTGCCGTATCCTCTCCCCCTGGCACCCTTTCCTCCTCTCCCTCTTCCTCCTCCTCCTCCTCCCCCTCCTCCTCCTCCCCCTCCTCCTCCGCCACCGCCACCATCTCTCCTTCCTGTGGGACATCCACGACACCCTCTTCTCCACCTCCTCCTCCTCCTCCTCCTCCTCCTCCTCCTCCCTCAGCTTCCAAATCCTCCATTTCTTCTGTGTAATCTGCCACAATGTTCCCCGCGAGAGCTTTAAGCACTGCTGCATTGACGCAAGGCCATCCAGACGAGGTGTACGCTTCAACCGGCACAGTCTTACTAAGACCATGCAACGTGATTGGGCGGTTTTTTTTAGGTGGCTTTCCCTCACGGCCGGGCTGAACATATCCGTCCAGGTTCGGCACTGAAAATGTCCGCTCCTCCGGGAGCTTCTGCTCTGGCTGCTTCCGATTGCTCGCGCCAGCGTACAGAAGCTGCTGTATCTGTGCCATGCTCCGGACATTCATCCGCTTTGCATCTGGACACATCTTGGCCGCCCAATGCCGGAACCGATCTGCAGCCCGTTCCTGGTCTGACTTCGCAATGGCCTCTATTTCCTGTAGGTGCTGGCGATCGATGAGAATCCCCTCCCTCTCTATGTCCGTCAACAACCTCCCAAACGGCCGCCAGTACATTTCGTAGAAGTCTAGCATTGTCCCTTTGTATTGGTCGAACTCCCTCACCCACGGAACATGTTGAAGCTTCCTGCATAGACTTTGCCACAGCACCCATGTGCTGATAGAATCGTAAGCCGAATACTGAATCCACTGATCGCGCGTGGACAGAGACTTCTGAAGCTCGACGACAGGAGGCACAACAACTAACTTGCCCTCCGTGCCATCCTTTTTCATATTCGGAGAGCCAAAAATCGCCTTCATCGATCTCTTGCCGCAAAATTCCTCCCCTTCCCACACATCTCCCACATGCCCGTTCATCACCATCTTATCCGACGTCAGCGATTCCAACGAGTATCCACTCTCTCCTCTCCTTGCCGAGTCCCATAGCCGCGCCATGTGCATCGTGTCTCCAAAGAATCCATCTGCATGAATGCCATGGTTGGCGAGCACATGCCTGTCAAAGCTGTAGTTGTGCCACACCTAACCCCACCATACCACCCC